ACTACCTCTGCCTTAGCCCCCACTGCCATGGCTTCCTCAGGAAGGACTTCTGGAATGATGTCTGGAAGGTCGCTTGGCAGTTTGGTCTAATTAGCATATTACGCTGTTATTATTATACACTAGAGGCCCAGTGCATAAATTCATGTTTGAGTGGGGTCTGGTTGGCCAGGCCCCAATTGGGCAGATCAAGGTTGGGCCTGTCAGGAGAAGGAGATGATGGGAGGTTGGCCAGTTGGCCCACCCTAATTGGGTCAGGCTGGCTGGGGGAATTGGCTGTGAATTATTTGCTGGGAGGCCAATTGGGAGCAGGGCTGGCCATGGGAAGGGACTATGGGTAGTGGACTCCAAATTGTGGGTGCCAACTGGGGCCAATGGCCTGGAGGAGGGGCTATGGGTGGTTGACCAGCCAGTCCTGCCCCTGATTGGGGTGGAGGGTGTGATCAGGGGTGGGGCTGGCCTTGGAGAGGGACTGTTGGCCTATGATGGTGGGGCAGGCTGATCAGTGGTGGGACGTTTGCGGGGAGGGACCACAGGATTTTGGCCCTACCCCCTGCTCAGGTCAGTTTGCTGGCCACAGTGGGTATCATAGTGACCATTCATCAGTTGTTTCAGTAGTTATGGATGCTGGCTTTTTATATCTGTAGATTCCTTCATGAAAAGTATCACAAGACCGTATTTAGAAGTGCTAAAATTTATTCAGTCTAGTTATGCAATGTCATATTACATTTTTGCAATAATAATAATTAATAAATAAAAGTAACTTTTGAAGTCTAAATATATGGAGAAATATAAAGTTTTGCAGAGGCTTGCACTCTCTAATTGAACTTTATGAGCTAATATTTTAATGACATCTCCTGGATAATAATTAGCCATCTCAACTCCTTATTTACTATTTGAAAACTATAGTCACTATCCCAAGCTTACCAGATATTGTTTCCTCCTCTTTTTTCCAGTAACATATTAATGTTTTTCATTTGTAAAATGCTCCTTTCAACCATGTTAAAATTTCCCTATATCTTACCAAGAACAATCTGAAATACAATCACTAAAGATACTGTTTAGTGTTTCTATTTAAATGTGTGTTTGACTAGCCTATAGATTCAACTAGAAGAATCTGGCAATTTACAATATTTTGGAAAATAGCTTGTATTTTGTTTTTTTCTAAAAAGCCTAGGATATAGATCTCTCCTCTAACAGTTTCTTTTATTTTTAAAACAGTAAAGTCAAGAAAAAAAGGGAAACTGATCCCTAAATTAGGCTTTACTGATAGTTTTTTCAAAGCAAGTTTAGACATTTCTCAATGATTTTAATGTTAGAATATTGGTAGAATTTGTGGCCCATCTAAATGTCAGACTGTGATGAGATTGTGCTCATCCCAGGAGATTCACCAACATTGGAATCACTAGAGGCCTGCTGCACAAAATTTGTGCATGGGGGAGGGTATATCCCCTCAGCCTTGCTTGCATCTTCTCCAGTCCGTGACCCCTCGGGGGATGTCCGACTTAAAATTCAGGGACTGCTGGCTCCTAACCACTTGCCTGCCTACCTGATCACCCCTAACCACTCTGCCTAATAGCCTGTTGGCTCCCAAATACCCTCCCCTGCCAGCTTGATGGCCCCCAACTGCCCTCCTCTGCTGGCCTGATCACCCCTAACTGCCTCTGCCTCAGCCCCCATCATCATAGCTTTGTCCAGAAGGAAGTTGGACATCCAGAATGATCAGTCACCTGATATAATTAGCATATTACCTTTTTATTAATATAGATGTTTGCTACAATGGGAACCATGGTGGTTCCTTCCTTAAGAAGGACAAAAGGAAAAAATAGCTGATATTAGCTTAGCTTCAAAGACAACTGGATTATAGGACATCATTCTGTAGATTATTATAAAAACTAGTATTCTCCTCTTTCTCTCAATACTCTATATTCCTACCACTTAGCTGTTATGGAATGAGCAGCAGACTAGGGGTCAGAAGAAAAGCATGTGAGTCTCAGCAGCACTGCTATAGTCCTATAATTTTGTACAAGTAATTAATAATTTCAGCCTCAATTTAATTACTTCCAAAATGAGAACATTTAAAGAAATTATTTCTGTGGTTTCTTTCAGCTTAAAATTATGCAGTATCATCAGACTTTTCAGGACTCTATAATAATAAGGTCTAAGAACCAGATTACTGGTTCTTGATTACTTCAATCTCCATAAACCCACTCCAGTCCTGCCTACAAATCTGAGCCTGGATTAAATTCTTCTACAGTATGTTTTTTGAACCTAAACTACAGGGCCAGGGAATAATCTTGAATTGTGCCATAACAAGGAAATATATGGAAGGCTGCGTCACAATGAAACTGTATTATAATATTTTTGGAACTTGTAAGTTTTGGGTGCTATTTGTTTGACTTTTAAATTCATAAAGTTCAACTTTGAGACACAATTTTATAGTACTCTTATTTAAAGTTTTAGAATCAGATTACTAAGATATATTTTCAAGTTTCAAGTCAAGCTATTAAAATTTCCACAATTATAATGCCTATCTGTAAAAATTATATGTTTTCTCATTACTGTACAGTACAAAGTATATAGGCATATATTAGATGTGGATCTTTATATATAACTGTAACTGTCAATCACATTCTTGATCTCAAAATTTCATGTCTGTGAAGATGGCTTCACTGTTCTCATTTATCAATGTAAAAGGAAATAAATTTTGCATATTTTAAATGTACAGTCTTGTTTAAAAATATGCCTTATATTTATTTTATATTTTGGAGTTTTGAATAAGACTTCATTTATTTTTTTTTTATTTTTTCCCCTTATTTAATGTTTTAAACTTTATTTACATACGAAGAAAAGTATCAATGCATATCCTTGTTTCAACTATAGTATTAGCCAAACTACATGAAATAAAATGAAATGGTGCTTGCATATAAAAAACTGTCATTTGTAAAGGGATCTGACTTCAGATTAAAAGAACCAATTTGTTTTTGGAAAAGTTGAAAGGAAGAATCAAAATCTCATGACCAAGACATCTGCACCATATTTTCCATTCCTCACAGCACATTTATTTCAGTAATTCCATTATGTCGGTTCTTAGCATAAGCAAAGTGTTACACGATTTTCGTACATATAATCACATCCAAAACAAGTTCTAAAATTTAAATTGTAAACATTCTCATCATATGTAGAAATATTTCAATTGGTATATTAAGTTGCTACTGATCAATTTTGGAAGAGAATATAAATGAGAAAACCTATTCTAAATTGTGTAGTGAGCATCATTTATTAATTACATTTCTACAATGCTAAATAAAGAGGCAAACCTGTCCTGTAAGCATGTCAAATTTTAGGTAAACCATTAAAAAGAAACAAGTCTGTTAACAAAATGATGTCTTGCAATAAAGAACATTAGATTTTAAAATCTATTATGATACAAAAAATGTAAAGGGTAAATAGCATCTTTGTTGACAAAGTAGGAGGTAGCATGGATGCACCACTTTATTGTCTTGAGAAATGCAACTGGAGTAAAGAATATTTCCTTACCACAAATAATTTCCAGGACTATGTACATATTTCTTTTATAAATACTTGTTTAAACAAATCTCCCTCCACATTTTAGTATAAAAAAAACCATTCCATGTGATTTTAAAAAAACACTTACACATTTAGATAGAATAGTACTCTGCCCTATATGAGTGAACAGTCTCCATCTATGAAGTACATGATATTTAATGCCCTAAGTTGAGTAAATTTAGTTAGCGGTTCCAGGTATTATACAAAACACTACATACAAACAAAATATAATATCTTATTTTTCAATGCAAGTCTTGTGGGGAATAAACAGAACCTTGATTCTGGTAACACTACAGAAAACATAACTTTCCAATAAGTCTGTCTTTAAGTATCCATGTGCAACAGTTTATTATCGACTGCTTACATGTACTGATCTTTTACTGAACGAATAGTTAACTGAAAAAATTCAGTAAACCTTGAAAACACATATTCTGTCCTATATAAAATATATAGACTACTTACTGTTTGAAGAACTCTATTTGTTCTGATGCCACCATAATTCACTTTTCCCCCCTTTCCTGTTTAGTATTTATAAATGGATACAATAGTTTTATTTCAGACTCTCACAACTCTAACACCAAAAAGCCTGAAAGCTTCAAAGACCGCAGGCGTGTATCTGCAAAGAGAGCAGTCAGGGAATCTAAGAAGGGAAGTTCTGCTGGAGGGGAAGACTTAGATAGCTATCCAGATTTCTTGCATAAAATGACTGTTGTTGTTTTGCAGAAACTTAATTCTGCTAAAAGAAAGATAGCTGTGAAACAGAAGATGAAAATTCCTGAGATAACGTTGAGTTAAGTGACTACACTACACGGGCTATAGAAGATGAAACTTATAACAGTATTAATCAAGAACATTTATTTCCTCTATTTAAAAGCAAAGTGGAAGGTCAAGAGCCTGGAGAAAATGCTACACTTAGTTATGATCAAAATGATGGCTTTTATTTTGAATATTATGAAGACGCTGGAACTAATAACTTTTTGCATGACATACAAGATTCTCAGCATTTAGAAAATGCAGAAACTTCATTGTCAAAACATAGTTCTGTTTTTCATTGGAGTGATTTGTCTCTTGAGAAGAAATCATGTCCTTACTGCCCAGCAACATTTGAAACAGGTGTTGGATTGTCTAATCATGTTCGGGGACATCTTCACAGAGCAGGATTAAGCTATGAAGCCCGTAATGTTGTATCACCAGAACAAATAGCCACCAATGACAAAATGCAGTATTTCAAACGAACTGGCACAGGGACACCTGTTAAGTGAGTTAGAAAAGCTATAGAGAAGTCTGAAACCACTTCTGAACACATTTGTCAGCTCTGTGGAGGTTGGTTTGATACTAAAATTGGATTATCAAATCATGTTAGAGGCCACCTGAAGAGATTTGGAAAGACCAAATGGGATGCTCACAAATCTCCAATCTGTGTTCTGAATGAGATGATGCAAAATGAAGACAAATATGAAAAAATCTTAAAGGCATTGAACAGTCGTCGTATTATTCTCAGACTATTTGTAGCTCAGAAACTTGTATCAAGTGATGATGACTTTCTATCTCAAAATGTTATACCTCTTGAAGCATACCATAATGGCCTAAAGACTGAAGCTTTATCAGTGTCTGCATCAGAGGAAGAGGGGCTGAGTTTCTTAAATGGATATGATGAAAAAAACCCAGAACTGCCCAGTGGGAAAAGGAATCAGTCTCTTACACTGATAGAACTGCTTAAAAATAAAAGGCTGGGGGAAGAAAGGAGTTCTGCTGTCTTTCCTCAAAAGATCCAGAATCAAACTGCAAGAAAGAGATTTGTTCAGAAATGTGTTCTTCCATTAAATGAAGATAGTTCGTTGATGTATCATCCACAAAAAATAGACTTGACTATGCACTCAGGCTTAGATTGTAAGCAAAAGAAATCAAGGTCAAGATCTGGAAGCAAGAAGAAAATGCTAACTTTACCTCATGGTGCTGACGAGGTTTACATTCTCAGATGCAGGTTTTGTGGCCTAGTCTTTCATGGACCGTTGTCTGTTCAGGAAGACTGGATTAAGCACTTGCAATGGCACATTGTAAACGCTAATCTTCCCCAGACTGGAGCTGGCATGGTGGAAGTCACGTCACTGTTTAAAAAGCCTGCTTCCATTACAGAAACTTCATTTTCTCTACTAATGGCAGAAGCAGCTTCATAGAACAATGAAACCTTTTAAATAGCAAATATAAATTAGGTGTAAATTTGAAATTCTTTGTTCTTTTTTTTAAAGACTTCATTTAGATTAAGAATTCTGCTACTAAAAATCTGGTGCTAAAAATCTGATTCAAGTCAGTGGTTTGCACACATTCTATTTTTAACCTGTATGGTTCTGTACATAGAATTCTTATTATAAAGCTTTCAATCATACACAACTGTATTCAATTTCCAGAGTAAAATCTTGGGATCAGACTAAAATTTAGTTGTGATTGCAGTAGCTTAGAATAAGAATAAAATACAAATATAATTGCCTGTAAGTGATATTCTAATGAGGCAGATAAGAAAGACTGTAAATAATGTATTTCAGACCTACTATTAAACCACACTGTGCTGAGATCCATGCAGCATGTACAATGGAAGAAACAGACAATGGGAAGAAGCTGATAATTACAAATGTTTACTTTTGATTTGTAATGATTTTTGTTTAACAGATTTTCTTCCTAGTGTTGTTCCTTAGAAGGACATCAATTTCATATTTTGAACATACCATCAGGTAGGATGGGATTCAACAGTTGCTCCATATGCCTAATCACAAGGAACATATTTCATTCTGGGGACTGTTTCTTTTCTGACAGTCTATCTATAGCTTGCATATCCCTTTATTCCTCTAAATGTGTGTTCCCAAAAGCACCAGTTGCTTCATCATCACATTGAGATGTTGCTGTTGAAAAGTACAAAAAGACAGCTGTGAAAACCACATAGGAGCAGAGCAGGATATTGTAAAATGTCTCACTTCCACCCTCCTGACTCCCTTCTGAGTCATTAGAAGCCCAGGGGCTCTTGCATCCTCTGATAATTCTCAGCAATGTGTTTCTGTCTGATAAAGAGCTGAAGGTTCTGTTCAGTGACATATGCTCACCTTGAGATGACTCAGAGAGAGTCATAGAGTGCATACTCACCACTGGAGAGAGACATCTGAGTCATGAAGGTCATTTCAATTGAGAGCTATTGTAACACTTAAATACTTGTGCCAAGGGTACACACTATAATTCTCTTTAAAACTCTGTATCTCAAGGATCATAAAGTTTTGATGGTTACATTCGCAGTTTATAAGTTCTAGCCTAGATGCTCTAGCAAAGAGGATGATTCAATAAGCTAAATATTACAGTAAGTAAAAGATGGGTAAAATGAGATCAACATGTTTCAGTAAACAGTTCCCCATCTTATGGAAATGACATAGGTAGCTTTTCTATTTTCATCTTATCTCTAACTAGCTGTGTGACCTTTGGAAAATTGTTTAGTCTCTGTGAGTCAGTTTTCCCATGCTTAAAAATGGAATTTATTGAAGTGTTTTAGGTAGTTCAGAGTTGCTGGGAGGGCTAGGAAATTAGACTTGAGGCTAAGCTTTCACAAACAGTAATTAATACCATGCTATGAAAGAGATCTTAGTAGGAGCCCCCTGCTGCTCCTTGATCTGCCTGCAAGAGCCCAACTTAATTAGCAATGCTACCATTGCAGGAACTTGACCATTCTACAACCCTTGTTATTATTCCCCAAACTAAACCCTTCTGCTGTCACCCATACCAATAATACAAATGTCCAGACAAACCTTCACATTCATATCACTTACTTCCAAATTGAAATCTCATGCAGCTGCATTTGATTAATGGGCTTGACTGAGGTCTCCTATGTGCAACATAATTGTAAGGGAGACTAGAGTGGCCAGTTTCCTTGAATTATCCTCCCATTGGAAGGCAGAGTTAATAAAAAGAAAAATTATAAAATGGAAAGAGGGTGTTTATAACATATTGTGTGCAAATGATAGATGTCAATCACCTGTCCTGTAAAACAAGTAAATATGAGAGGAGGTCACATTGCAAAGCATCCTCCACAGTACCTGGCACATGAAGCACATATGTCAATATTTTCTTTCATTTCATTTCTTATGAGAATTTTTTAAATCCTACTGTGTAGAGGTTCAAGAGCTTTGTCAAGGATTTTTCCAGTGTGTCGTGACTAACAGAGTACTAGTAACTCTGAATCTTTGCCTTAAAGTGGGATAAAAAAATAAAAATAAAAAGTCTGAGTCTCTCTAAGCTCTTTTGTGATACTTATTTTTGCTAAGGAGCTCATTAGCACAAACATCAAAATTCACAGGATTGAGGCTGTATTCTTTTTCCTGTCCATAGGAAGGTGATCTACTCTGAATAAATAAGGGAAAGAAGGTTCTCTGCCCCCTGACTCTCAAAGTATCTGGAAATTAATCCCAGACTAGACCTGGAACAGTCAAGAATGACAGTCCTATATGCCTCCACAACCATGTGATTCCTACTTGCCCCAGTGTTAACCCTTGTGAAGAGCATACCAGCTCCTTCTCTGTGTCTCACAGAATTGTTATTTGTTCTCATATAGAGTCACTTTGTCACACAAAGGAAATGGGCATAGAGTAGGGAGGTAAAAGAAAGGAATATGTCTCTTCCTTCCTTTGAGGGCAGATCCTAGGAGAGCCATTAGACAGACTTGCTGATATTAGGATGGAGTTCTGGAGACTAGGAATTGGTCAGGAAGGTTTTTGCTGAGAGTCAACACAGATAAGTCAACTCTGTCATTGAGTTAAAATAGAACATAAGACAACACCTAGAAGTTTGAGAGCTAGGCTGACAATAGAAAGGAGTAGGATGTAGTGGGAAATGATGAGAAAAGTTAGAGACTCTGGGAAAAGTGCTCAAACAGCAACTATGAAGGTCAAAATGTGTTTTATGCACTGCCTAGGTGGAAAATGCATTTTACAAAAATAACAATTTTCCATTTCATGAAATAATTTCGCATATCTTATCCCATGTGATCTTAATAAACCCAAAGTTGATCAAGATAGCTAGCTAGCTTGTAGTATCCCAATTTTACAGATGCCAAAAGGATGGTGAGAAGCGGTTAAGTGACTTTGACCAAGGAAGGCTACACAGCTACATTGGAGTCAAACCAGATGCAGTATTCTTATGTAAAACCCAGAGCTGTGTCTGGCATAGTCTACAAAACATTTTCATAAAGATTGCAAACAAATGAGTTTTAGGAGTTTTACTCACTTGCCCTTATATGTCCTTACATGATGTTTTAAATTAGATCTCATAGATATTTTATCTAAAGTTTTCACTGAAAATTCCAGAGTCATGCAACTTATGATTAAATAAATAAGATTTGAGATGCCTGTTTCAGACTTTTCAATTTTGCCCTTTTCACATCCCATCTTCACCTATGAGAGCTGGCGCTTGTTAATTATGAAGAAGAGACTGATTTCTTTGAATATTCAGAAGTGTTTTCATCCTTGGTGACTCAGGTGTTGAGCTAAAAACAAATTTTGATGAGTCTTAATAGAAAGACCTTGCACCATTCATTGACTGAAGATGACACACAAAGGGAGGAAATTGGGTGGAGAATCTGAGATGGTCCTGGTCTTTGAGGTCTAGAGCCACTTTATTATAGTAACTGGGTCAACCTTCCACACCTCACACAAGTTAAGATAATGCCAGCCTCTGAAAAGGCACTGCATTAACCAAAGTTCTTATGTAAAAAAGCTTCCAATCGAGTTGCACACATAACCCAAGGAGCTGTTCATAGTTACTATTTATATTCAGAGTTCAGGAGAAAAGTAAAAGGTTGAATTAATCATTTAGAGGTTTGAGCTATTTTCATTTTTTAGGATATTTGCCTCAATTTTAGTACTTATTATGCCTTCTTTTTTGGCTTGTTGCGAGTAAAACAAAAAAGGCATATTATTAGAAAGAACATTTTGAAAAGTATAAAACACTGAACAAATTATTATGATTGTTTTTTTAATTAAAGTAACTCACTATACTTTCAAGCAGTGAGAAAAGTATCAGCTATATACAGTATATATAGTAGATTCTGTCTCTCTTACTGCATCTTTAAGGAGCTGATTTTGTCATATGTACAGGATCCAATGAATGTAGTTACAGATTGTCAACCTATTGGCAAAATAAGGATGAACTCAAAAGATGCTTTGAAAGAAGCAAACTAATTATAATGGTCCCATAAAAATATAAAACATTTATTTTCCCCTCTGAACTTTCTTAATTACAATTTGTTATATCATTGAACTTGAATTAAAGACTGCTTAAGATTTTAATCACTTCCAGTTGCTTAGCACTTTTCCATTGAATGTGTTGTGAGTCTGAGAAGAGTTTCAGAAACTCAGAGTGATGTTTAAAGGTGTCCCGAGCCATAATTGTCATGGATGTTCACACTCCATTCTTCTCCAGGAATGCTCCCTGACTGCCACCTTCTTCAGCTGCTCTCTGCATCCAATACAGTGTCCTCATATCAACTGCCTCCTGCTTCCAGCTAGTGCATGCTCTTTAAAGCATTAACTGCTATTCATTGGCATTAGCTACCAATTCTCACATAATATGAGAAATATTACATATTATAAACAATCTAGATCAAAATTCATTCTGACTCAAAGTGTTAATCACGTTCCTCCCAAAATCTGTTTTGTTTCAATGCCTTAATTGTAATTTTTGAACTATAACCCATGGATTCATGTAAGTAAATTGTTCATCAGGAGTGGTGATCATCAGAATTCTCTGGAAAAATATTTCCCCCAAAACATGCATCTACTAGAACTCCACAAGAAACTGACACTCAGGATATACAGGGTAAATCTGAGCCAGTGTATTTTGAGGTATCTCCTTTTGGTACCCTAACATAAAACCCTGATTAAGAAACACTCCTAAACTTTCCACATTTATTTATAAGCAGAATATACAACAAATACAATTCATGGGATGCCATCAATATATGCCTTTTTTTTCTTAACTTACTTTTATTTATTTATTTATTTATTTAAATATTTATATTTTATTGTTTTTTTTGTTTTTTGTTTTTACAGAGAGGAAGGGAGAGAGATAAAGAGCTAGAAACGTCGATGAGAGAGTAACATCGACCAGCTGCCTCTTGCACACCCCTACCGGGGATGGGCCCGCA